CTCTGCCGCCCGCCTCGGCTCAGCGCTTCCTACGGCAGCGCTCGGACATTCCCGTGCTGGTGGTCACTGACCACAGGGATGAGTACACCAACAGGTGAACGATCAAACGAAACAACGAAAGAGCAAACGCTGGCTCGCTGTTCTCTGTTTGTCTGTCTACTTCTCTGTCTTGGATTGCTTGTGTGGGTTGTTTACAGGCGTTCGTTTTCATTGACTGGCATCTGTGATGCTGCTATTTGGCGCCTCACCGTCATACGCAGGAGACCTGAGGATTTTGTTTGTTTGTTGTTTTAATAAACGTTTTATGTCACTTGCAACACAGTTAGGACAGTTTTGAATTTTGGAGGTGTGGCAAGAGAATAAAAAACACAAAAATAAAGAAGGAGAGGTAAGGAAGATGGATATTTGATACAAAAGAAGGAGTGTACCACACCAGAGCACCCACCAACCACTCACTAACCCAAGTTTGGCACCCGCTGAAGAAGAATTTTTATTGAATATCTCTTTGTCTTTCAGCTGTCATGTTGTATCTCTCTCAGCCTGGGTTGGCCTTGACGGGAATTGAAGGACCGTAAATGTCATTTTGTCTGCTGTCAATTTGGGCATAAAAACACATATGTTTAAAAGAAAAATAATTGGGATCATGTTGTCTAGACACTGCCGGGTGGCCTATTATATGATCCAAATTGTGTTGATGGAGGCGTAAAAACATTGACAATTACGGTTAAAATTGTTTAAGACTACCACTCATCGGTGAAGGAAAAAGTGGAGAGGTGTCCGTATTCCTCAGTGTCATTATAATGTTTAAAAAACTGCAAATGTTAAAATTTCAAATCAGGGCTGAGGGGGGCACAGTATTGTCCGTCTCAGGCGCGTATAAACCCTCCCAGGGAAAGGAATTTCTTTTTATGTTTCCGGGTTGAGCTGGTTTCCGTCTTATAGAGGAATTTATCAAGAAAGGAGTGGCGGCGAAATTCTATTATGACTGGTTTTTGTCTAAGAGAGGTTTCCGTTAAAAACGGGTTCAACTGTAGTACTGCAATCTCCCCTTCTCCTGTTCAGTTTTAGGAAGAGTTTTCTGGCACATGCAACACCACAAGTAGGTCACACCACAAGTAGGTCACACCATAAGTAGGTCACACCATAAGCAGGTCACACATAAGTAGGTCACACATAAGTAGGTCACACCATAGTAGGTCTCACCATAAGTAGGTCGCACCATAAGTAGGTCGCACCATAAGTAGGTCACACCATAAGTAGGTCACACCATAAGTAGGTCATATAGGTGCGGAAGTTTAGAGGTCTTACAAGAGAGTAACAAACACAGGAAAGAAGAAGAAGGAGGAGGAGAGGTCAGGGCGATAGATGTTTGATAGGAAAGAAGGAGCAATCCCAACCAGAGCACCCGCCAACCTCCCTTTCCCCTTCTACAGCTACTACAATAGTCGCCTGGACACAGCCGAGAGCATCGGAGCGGCGGACTACCCGGCCGGCTACAACGCCAGCCAGCAGTACGACTACGTGACCACGCAGGCCTCACACATTGCCAGTTTGTCCACCGCCCTGGCCAGGTACCTGTACAACGCGTCCACGGGGCGGGAGCCCTCGCCGGAGATCCTGAGTAACCTGACTGCTGATGAGAGCGTCGTAAGTTTTGTTTGGGTTATGTTTGTTTGATAGTTTATGTGTGTGTGTTTT